GTGTATCATGTTTAGTTGGTCAGCTCAGTTCATCATTTCTGGACCAAGTTTAGTAGAAAGATATTTGTGAAAGGGAGTTACACCAAAGGAGCTCTGACCTCCTCAATTTCTCCACTTTCCTGACTCGATTTCCTCCTTTTGCCCAGAGCATCGCCACGCTCCTACAGACACAGCAGATCAGTACCAGCTTAAATCTGAGATAAAACCCAGCCAGCTTTAGAAGGATGAACAACTAATACCTTTGGGTTTCTCTTCCTGGAAGAACTGGTTCCCAGTCTGCTGAGGAGGGAAGCTGGAGTGATGAGAGCTGCTCTCAGATCAGCATTCTGACTCAGAGAGCCTGAAACAGACACCAACACTCGCTGCTTTAATAATCAGGACACAGACAGTTGTCTCCATGTCTTATAATCTTAAGATGACATGTTGACTAGATTCGTCTGATGCCCAGGACATGTCCTGTTTAACCTAAATGATATTGTTGCAGTGTGCAGTCTCACCAGCAGGGCGCAGCGATTCTTTATACACCTGGTAGAGCTGACTCAGGTACATCACCATAGAAAGAGAGTCTGGTTCTCCAACAGACGACATTTCTTCCACCGTCATCAGAGGAGAAATCCCAAACTCTTGCTCGGCCACGTCAAACGCAAGTTGGATGTTTTCCTCCACTGATGACTCGTCCAAACGGTCGTAGTCTCTGTTGTTGGACAAAGTTTGGGGTCAGAACACAAGCGGTCTGAACACGGATGCTTTGAAACATGAATCTGAGGTAAGTTACATCAGATCTGGTCGGCACCGATGGATAAGAGCACACAGGGCAAGGCCACTCTTCCAGGAAGTAGTCAGGTCACAAACGGTGACCCCTCTGTAACCGTGAGTCTGCTGCTGACACCAAGTCAACAGGTGATTGGACTGAGAGAAGGAATCTGTGCAGGAAAAATTAGAAGACCAATCGGATTAAGGATGGGACACTTTGAGGAAGAGGATCAGAGTTCTCTTATGATTCTGACACTGCAGAGATACATCTATGACCATTTACCAATTATTGTGGTCAGTTGAGACAAACAAAGAAAGAGGTTCATATGAGGAGTTAGGTTTATACAGCTAAAGTCTTTAACTATGTTCCGAATGACACCACACCATTAAGGCATCTTCTGTACCTAAACAGGTAAACAGTCCGAGATAGTAGCACAGAAAATAGGTGCTGCTGTTCTTTTTTATGAGTTGTAAGTCCAGGGAGAGGCCCAGAACTACTAGGCTTTGGCACAGTCACGGAGCCCCTTAAAGCTATAACCATTGTAGAATGACTATACCTTGTGTGGCGATACGCCTAGAACAAATTTGCGGAGAAAAAAACAACAGTAGTAACAGTTGACCCAGTTACAGTGACAGTCAAAGGCTAGAGGCTATTTGAGGGGGATCACAGACTAACGTCTCTGCCTCTCTACACCAAGGATGGAAATTCCACTTACTGAGGGCTGGAGATCTGATTGTTCCTTATGTTCCTAACAGAGCGCTCCGCTCTCAATCTGCTGGTTTACTAGTGGTTCCTAAATTCTAAAAGTTCTAAATTCTAAAAGTAGAATGGGAGGCAGATCTTTTAGTTATCAGGCTCCTCTCCTGTGGAACCAACTACCAGTTTTAGTCCATGAGGCAGACTTGTCTACTTTTAAGGTTAGGCTCAAATCTTTCCTTTTTAATAAAGCTTATACGTAGCTAGAGTGGCTCAGGTTAACCTGAGCTATCTCTATAGTTATGCTGCTATAGGTTAAGGCTTCTGGAGGTAATCTAAACCTGATCATTCTGCTTTATTCTATCTCTATTCTCCCACTCTGCAGAATCTGCTAATTCAATCTCCAACATTATGATCTCTCTGCTTTTTCTCATAGTAGCTTCACCTCATCTGTTCCTGTTTGGCTGTGACACCATCCTGGAGAGAAATATAAGCTGTGCTGCTGCCATCAACACCTTTGTTTATAGATGTTGGAGATCAGCCTGTTTTTCAGTGTAGTCCTGTTTCTGACTGTGACTGGCTGGATGTGCTCATGGGAGCTGGCTCGGAGCTTGACTCCATGGCTGTGTGTTTCCTGGATGTACATTCAGTTCCTCCAGAGTCCTCTCAATCATCCAATTACTTGATTTAGGTGTGTTGAACCAAAAAGAAAATCTAAAAGTTGCAGGATACCAGCCCTCAGGAACTGGCATTGCCCACTCCTTGCTCTACGCCATAAGGTGTAGGTAGAGGTTTTTTTGGGACACAGGATGAACATCGTTTCTATGGAGGTTTCATCCATGAACCAAAGAATGGACATGGGCACTTAGAGCTAGCAAGTCTCCTGAAAGCCAAGTTACCTTGTCTTAAAAGTCTGGGGGAAGGCAGCCGGGTAATCTCACTTTCACTCGTGTTTAGCCCCACCTCGTTGCCTGTGTTTACCAGGTGTCTCACCTGGAAACCAGAAGATTATCAACATAAAGTTTTCAGCATCAAAATTAGATCCCAGACGGTTCTGTGTTCACCTGAGCAGGTGTGACTGTCAGTGGGCTTATGTTTATGTATCTTGTCACTGGGTCTACTGTGAACAGATTGATGCTCTTCTGCATGTTCTCTGGAGTTGTCTGAGGGAGCAGACGGTACAAACTCTCCCTAGGTGAAGAGCATATTTAAATCATTTTTTAAAAATGTAAAAAGTAGGAAGTACTTCTTGAGTTTTGGTCTTCTTACCTTTCAGCCAGGACATCAAGAGGATCTGTACCCTGTGCCCAACTTCTTATCATCCAAGCTGAATCCAGAGCTGCTAGGAACCCCCGAGCTACACCCGTCCCCATCGGCCAAAAGGGCTGCAGACAAGGAAAAAGATCGGTCCAAACCTGCCCCATCCATTGGACCTCTGCATTTCTTGATCATGGCGAGAAGACACTTGTCTCACCTCCATCAGACTGTCTCCAACCAGTGTAACCAACAACTGGTGGCCGTGGCGTTGGCGAATCATGGCGGCGTTTTCCGAAGCGTACATGCAAGTAAAGTCAAACATGGCAACGTCCGGCTGACCATAATGGTTCATGGCGAAGTCCAAAATTGGCAGTTGGTGGTTGGTGGAAAAGTCTGCGGCCTCACGGGCATATGACTGCAAAGCTTCCTGGTCCACATTCCCTCGAGAAAGAAGCTGTGCAGTGTCTGCAAAGTCCTGACAGGGGACAGATCTTTTAAGCCGGGCATGCACTCTACGGTTTTTTCAATTGGTGCACACAGCTAAAGCTCAAACTGTATGAAGAAACTGCAGAGTTTAAAGTCATAGGGAAGCGGCTGTTTGAACAGTTGCAGTTCTGAATTCTCCCGAGTGGTGTCTGAGTTTAAACGAGTGAATAAAGTGAATGTGATTAAATTATCAATGGGGCAGGATGTTGTAGCGGTAGGCTGATTGACAGATGGCCGTTGATATATGATTGGCCAAATATAGGTGTTAAGGCTGACGTATAACTAACTCCCCTGCATAAGATAATGAAAAAAAACCCACAGATTTTAAGGCAGGATTTTTTTTGTTTATATATATGTTTAAGCCAGAATGATTTGAAATTTAAATAAGACTTCACTACGACTATAAAAGTTCAAAGCTCACGATGTATCTTCTCACAATGTGTGACCCGACTCTCTGATGCGATCTACCTGCTCAAACTGTATGTCTAAAAACCACTTCGGACTCAAGTCCGCAGTGAGATGGCGCTATTCAGACTCGTCTTTCCGGAAGTCAAAAGAGTAGAAGAGGAAAAAGACCGAAGTCAAGATGCCACCTATTAAATCTGAGACTCACTAGAGTGAAACGCACTGCCTTGGCAATTTATGCAATTTTGTGTGCCCTTTACCCCTGTACACTACAAGACGCATGACACATGATCAGGCTGAAAGTCGGCCCGATTGAAAAATTCTCGTACAACAGGAGAATCGGCCCGGAAAGGGCAAAACAATCGTACAGTGTATGCCGGGATTCAGACTTTCAAACCAAACCTCTGTTGATTACTTGGTTCCAGGTGGAATTTCAGACTGTATGGGTGGGTCCATTGCCTCTACAGTAAGTCTGTGAGTTTGTGAAAAGACACCAGGTGTGTGATTTACCTCACAGATAACTTCCTGTGTATCTAAGGGAGCTATTGACTAATAGACCAGAGGTATGTGATCGTTTTAACTGCAGAGGGACTTCGGGTGTGACAGTTACCTGTAGAGTGACTCACAGTACGGGTTTACGTTGTAGAACAACTACTTATAGAAATGTTAAAAGGCAGATGACTTTGACATTCATTTAGGGATTGGTTTTCATTCCATTGTTGTTACAAGCAAATAATAATAGCAAATAATAATAAAGTTTTGTAAATAGAACTTTAAAAAAAGAAAAACATTTTATTAAAAAAGAGGTTTAAAGAGTAATTTTGCTATTCCCTCAGAAGTTATTTCAATTTTTTTGTTTCCATTATCATTTTTCCTCAAATATTTTTCACACAAAATAAATATTTTATTTTTCCAATTTTTTTTTACAGATTTTATATTTGCAATTTCTTTTTTCTTCCCAAATTTCAATTTTCAAATTGTGTTTAACAGATCAAAATTTCTTCATATAAAGCTTATTGCAAATGCTTGATCTTGACCAATAAAAATGTTGCTAACATTCATGCAAAACAATTGAAATGTGTTTTTGGTTCCTCACTCCAGAGGGAATCCCGCCCCCTATATGTGAGGAGAACGGGATCTGGAAAATTCAAATGAAAAGAATTCAATTTGTAAGGCTCAGCCTGTAAAGCAGAATAGAGAAAATAGAAATACAAAAACTTGGGAAAAATAAAATCTGAAAAATATATTTGAAAAAAACCCCCAAAACATTGAAAAAGAAAAATCTGAAAAAAAACAGACTTCTTATAAAGTGACCACAGGTGAGTGGTTTACTCGCAGGGTTTCTCCAAGTATTTCTGTTACTCTTGCTATGAGTTCAGGGGGAATTAGTACCTGTGAGGCGAGTAAAGCCTGGTTTCCAGTTAGTCGCTTTCACAAATACCTGTGATGTGTAGCATAAATCCATGTATGACCATTACCTGACAGAGTCACTTAAGGTGTTTCTCTTACCTGTAAAATGACTCCTTTGTCCAACAGACTCTGCTTCTTTGCAGTCATAACAAAGTAATGAGTGTCATCCTTGTAGTACACAATGTTTTCCAGGTCAATACCTGAAACCAGGTGCTGATGTTAGAATGAACTTCACACCAGGAGTCTCTGTAAGAGCTGCCAGGGGAAAGACAAACCAGTTTCCTGCCGCAGCTCTTGAAAGAACCTCTGGTTGAAGATGAACGCCACTCCGCTGATCTCCTCCACTTTGGCCTCTGCTGAGGTGTTTCTGTTTTTAAAGTTGGCTGTGATGGCGATGGCCAGCTTCCCCCTAAACTCTTTCCGCTTGAAACCTAATCACACAGAGAAATCCTTCTGGTCTGAAATTTCTACTAATCGAATACTGAATGTACACCTCTGGATGAGAAGGATAAGCAGGACTGTTCTCAAACCTGGCAATGTGTTTCTGCGTCCATCTGCTCCAATGATGACGTCAAACTCCAGCTGACTGACTGGGTGGGACTTTGGACTCACCTCCATCCTCCAGCCCTCCTCTAGACATGGAGACATTTGGGATTATAAATCAGTTTGGGTTAACAAGATGACTTGAGCTTCAACCCTTTAAGTTTAAACATTGCAACTATTATTTGTAGCTTCATTTTATCAAAAAATGTAGGGTGTGTCCAGTGTCCTGCCCAAAACCCTCTTTCCCTCATGCTCTTACTTTTTTTGTGCTGGTCCTCTGGTGGCTCCACCAGCTGTTTAAACTCCACACTGACATGCACTTCCGCCCCAAGAAGCAAGGCAACCTTCAGCAAAACCAACTGCAGCTGGCGGATACCTGCAAACAAGAGACAGGTGGCACTGACTCTATAATCCACCTTGTTTCATCAGCTGAATAAACTGATCAAAGACTTACTGATGTGGTCGATAGAACTGGCACAGAACTTTCCATAGAACTTTTTGGCCCCAAGGCCCCGCAGATCATAGATAGTGAACGGCCAAAGGTGGAGAACGTTGTTCCTAGAAAATGAGTCCCTTTTCTCAAGGACCACGACCCGGGCTCCCATGAAGCACAGCTCCACTGCTGTCCTCAGACCACAGGGCCCGGCCCCAATGATTACACACTGACCAATCAGAGGGGAGAGAAGCTGACAAATCAGAAACAGTTTATCTAAAGTGCAACATTACAGGAAAAAAAAAGAACCTAGCTCCATTTGAATTGGGCCAGTCAGTAAGGACACAAAGGCAAGGCAAAGGGCATTAGCAGTTGCCATGATTGGTGCTGTCCAAATAGTGCTAGCAGTAAGGAAGAAAGGATTAAGAGGAAAAAGGATGCTTCCTATCATAGTTCTTTTAGCATAGATTCCTCCAGATGTTGTATCTGCCACCTCTATACAGACAACCATAATCCTTTGGGTGACAGGAAATATAAGCAAGGCCCACCTCACCAAGTTTCACAAAGGGTGTGTTCGATTTCAGGGACCGCGTCCTTCAAGGATCCGGTCTCCTGGGACTGGGTCCTTCAAAAACTGTTATAATAAGCAGGTCCGAAGAGTTTAGCTATGGAATTTAAACTGGTCCAGTCTTCCCTGACTCTAACTGCCCCTCATTCAGTGTGGGCTCTGTCGCCCAGCAACACTGAGAGTTGACACACAAAACAGGCAAAGAATGAATACTGAACTTCTCACTATTCTTCTGTGTCGCAGTACCATTGTCGCGAATATCCCAACAATGCAGGGATATTGAAATCTGGGCTTAAATGTCAGCCAAACCCATTTTCACAGGGATAAATGAAAGCCTTTCAATAAGCAAAACATTAAGGGCCACATATCTGACTCAATAACTATTTAAAACCAAAGCGTACTTCAATAGCTTCATCCTTCAGTTCTAGAGGGGAGCCGTAGCCAATGGGAAACCTCTGGTCTAGCCTCATGACATTATCTGGAGTGTTTGGGCTCTTTCGTCTGTTTTTATCTGTACTTAAATGCACATACTTTGTCTGCACTACATATTTTGGACTTTGTAATGGAGAGCTTCAGCCATTTGTTAGATTTGTGTATCTATATTTGTAGTATTTCTCCTAGAGGCCGTAGTCCCAATTTGACATTTGACATTTAAAAACATGCATGTGTGTTTCCATAATGAGGATTGTTAGTAAGGCTAAAGGCTGTCTGGATTTAGCAGGGCAAACTGGGGTTGAGCTTAAGTGAGGTTATAGCTACAATTTGCCCGATTCAAAAGGAACAACCGTAGCTTGGAAGCAGAGCCATCTTGTTTGATAAAGACTTACTGTCATGTTGCTGCAGACCCGGCCATTTTGGTACTCCGGCTGGGCTGCCCTCCGGTCCAGTTTGGCCCACAGAGCATTGGCCTTCCAGTAGTTGAGCCGCCGTTTGATTGGTTGGTAGAGAGGCTTTTCGGTGGTAATGCGATCCAGCTGTAGGTGTTCACACAGCTGGCTAAAGCAGCGCAGTGCTGCTCTGCAGGTTGATGCAGCCACAAACTCATCAAAAAGCTCCTGGGCTCGGCATTCTGGATAAGACTCATCTTCCATGGCAAACCCCCAAAGTTGCTGGGCATCATGAAAAGGCTGTCATCTTCTGATGCGCCACTGTTCCACTTCTGACATCAGCTGGAAGGTAAGGAAATACATTCACTCTTTAAATCTCTAGACTTTTGGTAAAGGGTCTTCATAGTTTCGGTGTCAGGTCTTCACATGGACATTGTCAGGTATTTACAGGTTAATTGTCTGGTCTTCACGTGGTTATTGTTAGGTCTTCACAGGGTCATTGTCAGGTTTTCACAGGTTCGTTGTGTGGTCTTCACATGGTCATAGTCAGGTATTCAAAGGTTCATTGTCAGGTCTTCACGTGGACATTGTCAGGTACTCACAGATTCATTTTTAGGTCTTCACATGGGCATTGTCAGGTCTTCACATGGACATTGTCAGGTATTCACAGGTTCATTGTCAGGTCTTCACATTGACATTGTCAGGTATTCATAGGTTCGTTGTAAGGTCTTCACATGGACATTCTCAGGTATTTGCAGGTTTATTGTCAGGTCTTCACATGGTCATTGTCAGGTATTCACAGGTTTATTGTCAGGTTTTCACAGGTTCGTTGCCTGGTCTTCACATGGTCATTGTCAAGTTTTCACAGGTTCGTTGTCTGGTCTTCACATGGTCATTGTCAGGTATTCACAGGTTCATTTTCAGGTATTCACAGGTTCATTGTCTGGTCTTCACATGGTCATTGTCAGGTCTTCACATGAATATTGTCTGGTCTTCACATGGTCATTGTCAGGTCTTCACATGGTCATTGTCAGGTCTTCACATGGGCATTGTCAGGTATTTACAGGTTCATTGTCAGGTATTCACAGGGTCATTTTCTGGTCTCCCCAGAATTTTCTTCCTTTCAGTTCTTACGTGGTCTTCATTAGATCCGCTTAGATACTCTATCAGGTCTTCTTAGATACTCTATCAGGTCCAGGTTCTTAGATTTATTGTAATTTCTTCACAGCCCTATTTTGTCTTCACATGGTCTTTGTCAGAACTTAGAAAGGTCATGTTAGGGTCTTTTTCAGGTCTTCATGTAGTTTTAGTTTTCTTGTAGTTTTATTTCCACTGTCTTTGTCAGGTCTTCTCCACAGGGTTGTAGTCAGGCCCTCACCGGGTCTTTGTCGTCAAGGCTTCACTGACATATAAAAACAGTGGGTCCCACCTCAACACTTTATGAAACATTACAGTTCACAGATGTTAGTATGAACCTTCGGCACTGGAGTGGTGCGCTCATAAAATGTCTCCCTTTGAAATGGTGAATAGCATGTAGTAAAAAGTACAAAAGATTATCTTTAGAAACCCAGCTCTTTTAAGAAACCACAACACCGAATAAACTTTAGCTTAGTGACTTATTCTCAGTATAACTACAGATGTTTCTATGTTAGGTCTCAAACGTTTGTCAGAGAAAAACTGAGAAGAACCAGCATCATGGAACCCATCAGAAAAAAACAGAAGGGAAGCCGTGGCTCAGTTCGAAGCAGGGTCAAGTTCTGAAAATCTCCCAACTTTTCCCACAGTTGTTTAAACATGGAGAGAAGATAGACCTGTCATTTGAAACATGGTGGTGTCAGCATCACCACCACCATAGCCTGGGGTGAAGGGCCACTTAGAGATCTTTAGGTCACAGCAGTTTCAGATATTATAGTGGCCTAGTCAAAGTCCAGACCTAATTCCAGCTAATATACTTAGAAATAACTTGAAAACTAATGTTTGCAGGTGTTCTCCATCACATCTGATAAAGCTGGAGCTGGTTAGAAAAATACAATTTAGTCTCAAGCTGTTTACATTTCGTAGAGTTGAACACTGAAATACCTACAGCTAAAAGGATACTCCACAAAGATACCATGAAAAGTAGAAGAGTGTAAATACTTGTACAACACTTCATTGTTTAGATGTGTTAATTCTCAGCTTTAGTCTTACTTGAGCATTCCCAGAGGAACAAGTTCAGATTCCAGGTCTATGGAGGAACTGGTGCTGTCTAGCTGGATGTCAGGTATCTTCTGCCATGTTTTAAAGTTCCCCTTAAAAAAAGCAATTTTCTACAGATTTTGCTCGAGAATGAACTTCTTCCAACTGATCAATAACTCCAAACGTAGAGAGACAACATCCAAACATCCCCCTGAGACACTAAGACATCTCAAGAAAAGTCTAGATCGCTCCAGAAAAATAACCTGAAGATTTTCCAATGAATGGAACAGATAATGCTTTCCTCTCTACTCAGATCGTCACATGACAAACAAAGACGACCACACACAGAGCTGACCCGTCCGTACCAGCCACCAACTCACAACGACTATCTGTGTGTTGGTCATCACCAGGACAGGACCAGAGACGCATATGAACCCTGACCCTGGTGATCCAGATCTGATCCTCACAGGATCAAACCTGCAGACAGTCAATGTTAACCTTTTGAAGTCAGGTGAAGAATAATCTCTTCATGTTGTCTGCAGAATCATCTTTTGTAAACACCTTTATAACCAGTTTGAGCTCTAATACAATACTCAGACATCATCTCATCTTTGGAAACATAAATACGTTAAAGCTGTCAATTCATCCTTAACATTGAATTAACATTTGAATAAAGATGATCTGCAAATATCTGGGTGTCAACCTTTAAAAAGTGAAAATGAGTGAAATGTACTCACTTGTCAGAGTCTCTGACTGTCTGCAATGCATCTCAGACTGCTGCTGCTCACTGCCAACAGTTAATCCATCCTAATCACACACAGACACACCAGCCCTTAGAATAACATTAGTTCTCACAAGCCAGACACCATGCGGGAGATCAGCGGGTGGGGTCAGACTACGTTAGCTCCGCCCATTTGTGTCAAACTGGGACCTAATTCTGATCTGACTTAACAAGCTTAAGAAGAGCACAGCAGCAACCCCAACTTATGTTTACCTGGGATGTAGTAAGGCGAGAAATGGTGAGAACAAGTCTAACAGCGCAGTACCAGGATGGTCTCAAGCCAATAAGGATTATAGCCAATCAGGGCGAGTCTCTCAGTTAATTTTTGCTCCTGTTCAGTACAAAAAATATTCCTACACCTGGTCAATTTAGTTTTTTTGAAGGTTTTCCTCAGCCCAAATTTGTGTTATTATTATTTGATCAATTCTTATTAACATTCATTCAAAAATATGCCGTAAAACTTTTACAACGTTCTCGACAATCAGCGTAGAAACCCTATATTTTAATCGGGTTTAAGGTGCTATTCTAGCGTTTGACCACTAGATGGGAGTAAAGGTGCCTCAGCGTTACCAGCCCAGGTTTTTTTTTCTTTTTTACTTTATTGAATTAAAAAAAAAACATCAATTGTCAAGTAGGTATCTCCCCTTTTCATTGTTACAAAAAAAGAGATAATAACAGTTATATACCGGAGATCAACTTAACTTGTGCAAGGCAACAGAAATAATAAATAAATAAACAGGCAGTATTATTACAACCAATTGAAACATACAAAACCAATCTCCAAAAGTATAACTACATAAAGAATATGTAGGTTTTAAAATCCACACTTAACCAATTAAAAGAGACTCATTCTGCAACAAGACAGTTCCTTGCATCATGTTAACCTTAGCATTTTGTTGAGTCATAAAACTAGAAATTGTGACGTGTCACTACATGGTTGGTGTATGTGTCCATATTTGTCGGCTAACAGAGATAAAGATGAATAGAAGATTTTGAGTTGTTTTCAAAACTTATTAATGAAGGTTTTTTATTTTTCTATTTACATACATGTATATAATCTCTTTCCATACTCATGGCAATATTGACCATATCAGATAAATCCTTCGCAATGTCATTCTTGTATGTTAATATTTGATTTATCTCAGAAGGTGTTATATTATCTATTTTTTTACTTAACCAAATATGCAAGTTCTGCCAAAAGCAACCGGTGACACGATTAGAAGAGATGTTCAATAGTTTCAGGCTCTTCAAGGTGAAATACGGAGGCATCCACCTCAAATCCAAATCTTTTCTTAAGAGTTTCTGCTGTTGGATAATAACTATTAATAAGTGTATATTGTATTTCTTTTACCTTTGGTGGAATTGGCCATTTTAAATATTTAAAATATTTTTCAATGTTACCTGAATCAATTTTTCTGTCATTCGAATAAAATTATGGAAGGTTTTACATTTATAGGTCGTCCCTATTAAATTATTGCCACCAGCCTAATTTGTTTTTACAGAAAATTTGAAACGGCTGCATTTCGATACGAACCACATAGAGCAATCACTATGTATGATTTTAGTCTAATATGTAACTTGTCAATATTTACGAACTGTCTTCAATAAAACAAAAAAAGTTTTTAGTAAATCTCTTTTAAAGTTTAGTGAAAATCTTAGTGAATTTTTACAAGAAGCTAAACTTAGTTAAGAAAAAACAGTCTAAATAAATACATTTAGATACTACATTTAACCTAATAAATACATTTAAATTCAAAAATAACATTTAGTTTTCTGGTTGTACACTTTCCGTACCTCATGGTGGCGGTAGAGAGTCTTAACGCTGCTTGCCAAACGTCATTAGACGCGTTGCTTCAAAGGCAGCAGGTTAAAAAACAGAGAGGAAGAACATAAACCATTTGTTATTAAAACATTCAGTGGCTGAACTCTTGTCTTTAGGAAACCTGATCGAAACCGGCATTAGATAACAACAAACCGGTAAAAATAAACATTATTTGGATTGTATAAATTTTCCTGCGTCATTCCAACATTCTGAGTTCTACCGGCTTCCGTAGCGCTGTGTGTTGCAGCGTGGCTTCTTTGCCTTTTGGATCGGAACCATGAGTCGAAACTACAACGATGAGCTGCAGTTTCTGGAGAAAACGGGCCGAACCAGCTGGCGGATCAAAAAGGGTTTTGTTCCCAACATGCAGGTGAGAAAGCTCGGTTCCGACCAACTGGGAGACCTGCTGGAACCAAACTGGGCTCCAGGGTTCTGCTGGGTCCATACAAGTCTCAAGAACCAAGCCGAAATAATGAGGATTAAAACAGAAAGACAGTCTTAAAAGTTGATGTACTTGAATAAGTCTGTTTCTCCTCATTTTGATCTAATAAATGTAAAATATAACTAAAAAACAACGGGGTACGGTTCTGTTTGAGCTGACAGCTGCTTAAGCAATTAAAAGGCTAGTTTGAAGGTTTGTTTTAAAACAAAATATTTAATAACCAAACTGTTTGGATCAGGAGCTTTTATCAGCTTTCTAAAAATCACTAGTTTATCTCTACAGATCCATATTTAGAAACTCTGGATCTGATCTGAATCACTGACCAAAGTACTATAAAAAAAATGTCATTAATATAGAATAATTATTTATGCAATTCAATAACTGAAACTCAAAATATTAAAGATCAATTTGGAAAACACTCATATAATCAAAGTGTTCACTTCAGTTAATGAAGAGGACTATGGCTCAAAGCTATTGACAACATAGTCAACATAGTGGAAGGAAAAAGTGTGATGGATGACCATGCTCAAGCAAGAGATATAAGGGCTGCTAAGAGCTGCTTTAAAGTCGTAGGGAAATCATATTTGAATTTCAAATCATTCTGGCTTAAACATGTATGTAAATGTACTCTTTGTCAGACCATATTGTCCCAAAAGTGAGAAAATTTCTATAAAAAAAAAATCCCGTCTTAAAATCTGTGTTTTTCTTCCCGTTATCTTCTGCAGGCCAGTTAGTTATACGTCAGCTTGAACAC